CTCTACCGCGACACCCTCTCCCACCCCTTCCTCGCCCCCTCCTTTCGCCACCGCCCTTCCTCGCGCTCTACCACTTAATTAATTTGTTTTTACTACATGTTTTCAGGACTGGCATAATGGCGGACGATAGAGCTGACCCGATTATGGACAACTATGATCCGGACGGTGAAGCACATATGTTCGGCATCATAAACGGCGATATTCTATATGTGCCGACCGGACAAGAAGAAGATGATATCTCTTCTTATCTGAACCTTGACGGTGAAGATGAAGGGCGCCGTCAGCAAGATGATGCCGAACAAACGTCGATAAACGACGATCTTCAAATGGAAGTAGCAACCACCTCCGGCGCCGAGGTATATATATACATTGAGCCTCTGGTGATACAAACTAACTGATTTGAATAAATATGTGTGGACTAACGTGCGCGACTCTCTTTCTTATTTTAGCCCTCGGCCGGATCGTCGAAACAATCGAGTACGTCGTCAAAGCGTGGCGCAACCAAGACGATGAAACAAGGAGAAACATGCACCATCGAGGTTGTCGACAGTGCAACCGGCAGGCCGCTGGAGCCCTGCAAGAACGCCACCAAGTTTGTCAACCAATGCGGAGCCATTGTTAGAGACAACGTCTCGATCACTGTCCAGGAGTGGAATAAGCCAAAGAAGGCACGAATTGCTGGTTTCACTTTTGTCGATAAGAGAACAAAAAAAGATTGCTTCAAGAAGCTTATGGAACATTTCGTTCTACCTCCGGAATACAACAAATTCGATGAGGAGGGTAACAAGATTGAGGAAAACAAGGAGAGGAGGAGGCTAGTCAAACAGTTCGCTCTTCATAAGATGGCCGACGCATTCCGGAAATTCAAGCAAAATCTAGCCCATGACTTTGTCAAGCAGAACAAGACTCCGGATTTCGAAGGACAATATGAGAAACTGAAACATGATTGGCCAGAATTTGTGAAGCAAAAGAAATCGGAGCAGTTCATTCAAATATCGAAAAAAATAAGGAAAATGCGGCTAAGAAGGAGTACAATCATATTATGGGGCCAGAAGGGTATCGCCTTTGGGAGCCTAGGTGGGAGAAGATGGAGAACGAGCTGAGGGCGCGAGGAATCCGTCCAGGTACGGAGGGATGGGACCCAAGGGCCAAAAGCTGGTGGTACGGGCATGGGGGAACGCTGAACCCGGAGACAGGGGAGTGTGTTTACCGGGGCAAAATAATTAAACCCACCCAAGCCCTTATTGACGCAATGAGGGATGCTCAAGAGGGGAAGATCAAGTTCAACAGAGAGAACGACGCGCTGACAAAAGCCCTCGGGAATCCTGAACACGGAGGACGTGTACGAGGCATGGGGCACATTCCGTAGAAAATAGGGTTCCCCCAGAATGATGACCCGTACGGTTACAGAAGCCGGAAGAGAAAGATGGATCGGGAAGCAGATGTTGTGGCGCGGTTGGCATCGGAAATGGATGTGATGAAGAAAACCGTGAGTGTACTAGTAGCCGAAAGAGATGCAGCTCGGGCACAGCATGAAGATCATCCAGCGGATCTCAGAAGCCAGCAGCGGAGAAGCAGTGTGGCTTCCACGGAGGCCCCACCGGCTGGTGCAGATGCACCGACAATCGAAATTACTGCACCGGAGCCTCTGGTGGTCGAAATTACTGCACCGGAGCCTCTGGTGGTCGAAATTACTGCACCGGAGCCTCCTCGCTACCCCGTGGACGATATAAAGGAGATGAAAGAATGTCATCTGTATTATCCTATCGGGAACATGTCCATGAAGGTAGCCATCGGCAGTGCTTTACCATGTTTACCTGGAGCACTCCACCACAACAACCCCATTCAAGATGGCTATGCTCGTGTCACGGTGAAGGACATAGTCCAAGGGTTTGAGGACCTGGAGATTGACATTGCTACAACTGAAGGGGAGAAAAGACTTGGAGATGTCAAGCGCCATTTCATTCTATGGCAAAAGAAGTTTATCAAGTTTCCAGGCGAGGCGCCAAGGACAACAAGTCCACCCCCCTACGGTGGTGGCGGTTCACCTACACCTCCGTCACGTCAGCCGACGCCCCCCAGTCCACAACGTCCGGCGGGTGATCAGACGCCGCCCCCCAGTCCTCGTCCGGCGGGTGATCAGACGCCGCCCCCCAATCCACCTCCGGCAAAGAAGCAGAAGCCGTCCTGGATTATTAACCCGGACCCTTATGTACCTAAGACCACAAAGGTACCGGAGCCATCACTGAAGCCTCTCCCCACAAGGCCTTGGGAACGTAGTGCCGAGGAAACTGCCGCGGCCGCGGCTGCTGATCATGAGAAATGGAAGGCGGACTGCAAGAAGAAAAGAGAGCCCGAGCCCAAGCCAGTATTTTCTGATGAGCAAAAGAAGTGGGCTAAGTCATTTTTGAGCACACCGTCCCAAGCCGCGAAGAATCTGCCTGACGACTATGCACGTGAACTTCGTAGGCAGGCACTCATGTTGAAGGAGAAGAAAGAGCGGGCGGAGAACCAGGAGAACAAAGCCTTGGAGGAGGCCGAGAAAACGGAATTAGAAAGTAAAAAAAGCGGGAAACGAGTTGCCCAGCTCGGGGAACAAAGTAAACAATCGATTGCCCCGCTTATAGTGAAAGCCGCCGGTCCGGATGACCCCGATATCATAGCAGCTGCGGCAACACATGGATTGACTGTAACGAGTGCCAGAGAACAAGCGGCCAACTTAGGTATTACTCTTCGTGAACTGTTAGGCCTTGATGAGGCGCCAGTGAAGGAGGTAGTAATTACATATGTGAAGAATGGGCCTCTCGTCGAGCCTGCGCAGGAAGAGGATCTACCTCCACAAATGAAAGGTCTGCTGAAATGGTACAAGGGTTACATAAAAAATAAAAACGCCAAAGAATATATTTATGCGGAAGTTTATGAGCATCACTTCAAACATTACTATGTACAAATTCATCTGAGTGAATTGTTCCAGCTTTTCAATCTGCGCGAGCTCGACAAATCTATCATCAGTTGCTACGTTCTGTAAGTGATTTATTTCTACCCCATCTCGTTCATATTGCCTGCACTATATATATGTCCTAACTATATTGTTGTGTCCGCTATTATACATGCAGAATGAAGATTAAGGAATGCAGAGTAAGGAACATTCATGATGTTGGGTTCATTGACCCACACATCGTTAATGGATATGTGTTGGAGCATCACCCCGCCGACATGGAGGCAGACCTGTGGCAGTTTCTTACAAAGCAGGAACTCAAAAGTGATATTCTATTTCCTTACCATTTTGGGTGAGTGTTTCTGTCTTGAGCACATTCTCTTTTGTTTACTCCATGCATGGTATGTGGCCGGCTAATCGATGAGTTATGCATGACGTACTGTGCATGTATCGTGTCCACAGGTTCCACTGGATTCTGCTAGTAATTAAAGTTGACACCTCAGAATGTCTCGTCCACGACTCTCTGAATAAGGATCCAAAGCTTTGGGTCGACATGAGAAGAATGCTGCAGAAGTAATTATTTTCATTCATTTGCGCTCTATATCGATCGGCCTATTTCGTTCATTTCCTAATATCAAGTAACTAATAACTCTCTTGTTCATTTAATTTTCTTTTCCTCGTAGGGTTTGGAGACGGTTCGTAGATACAAAGGTCGGTGAATTCAAAAAAGAGCTAGAATTCAAAAGGGCAAAGGCTAAGAATGGTGAGGATATTCAGCCAGCGGGGACCAATCTATGTGCATACTATGTCTGTGAGATGATCCGGAGATACACCTCTGAGCGGGTTCCGAGTGATACCAATGCTCAGAGGAATAACCTCCGGATGATGCTTAGTCCAGAAGCTCGCTTCCGACCACTTCAAGAGGAATTAGCTGGATGGTTCAGGAGGTAAGTCCTCCATCCTAAAGGAGAACACCATTACGAGGACGTAGAACTTTATATGCATTAAATTATGTATGGAAACTTGTTCAAAATTGTATATGGTCATCCGATGATATTGAATATATATAGTATATTCCTCTTGAATTCTTTTTGGTTCTAATTTCAAATTTGTTTGAAATTGTACATTCATATGCATGTATGTAGTACCGTAGAATATGTGAAACTCCTTCAAAATTAAAATAAAGCACAAAAGAAATAAAACAATACAAATTAAACAGAAAACAGGTTTAGGGGGGGCTAAAACCCTAAACCTGCGGCGGCCTTTAGTCGCGGTTGGCCAGAAGAACCGTGACTAAAGGTCCTCCGCCCCGACGGCCGCCTGGCGCCCACGTGGACGGGCCTTTAGTCGCGGTTCTTAAGCAACCGCGACTAAAGGGTGGGGCCTTTAGTCGCGCCCGTTCGGTCGCGGTTGCGCAACCGTGACTAATGGCAGTTGCGAACCGCGACCAAAGGCCCTTTTTCCACCAGTGAGGGTGGCCAGCTGCTGATAGAGACGATGGTTGGAGCAGGGCGTTGCTGTGGGAACGTCATCGATGCAATGAGGACGATGATCCGTGTTTGAACAACGTTTTTTTCAACCTAATTTCCTTTTGAGAGACTTATGGGAGATAGAGGAGGGGACCTGGGGCGAAGCGTTTCACTAATCAAACTGGCCACATGCCACGCAACGGATGCCCGCGCGGCAACCGACTGAGCGCGCCCGTTGTCCGACTCTGAGCGCTGGCCAAAATTAAAGTGCCCAAGTGCTACAGAAAAATAAAGGAAGCAATCACGACTTGGTACAGAAAAAATAGAGCTTTTTACCTTAAAAAAATGGAGTTATTCACCCGCAAAAAGTTGCAGTTATTGACGTAATTGCCGGAAAATTTAATTTCGAATATTGTTATGGTGGAAGCAAATCACGACTTGCCAAAAAATTGTTACCGTAGTTTCTGGGAAGCAGTTTTGGAATGGGTACACAGATGCATCCACGTTTCCGTATATGGAGGAGGACACTCAACTTCCCTCGTCGATCTGTTCATTTTGAAATCCCCAACATCGCGGAAATCGATAGCCCGGCCATGCCTCCGTTCCGGGGCTGGACGGACCTGCCGCCGGAGCTCGTCGGCCAGATCGCCGACGGCCTCGACGATCTCAAGTGCTACGCCAGCACGCGGGGAGCCTGCAGCACATGGCGTCGCGCCCTCCCGCCGCCGGCCCCTTCACTGCTTGTCGACCACGGCGCCGCCGCCATCAAGTGCCGTACCACCGCAACCTCGCTCCCTGCGCATCGCTCCTTCGAGCTCACTTAACGTCATCCCCTCAGGCGGGCTCTGCCCCGCTGCGCGCCGCTCTTTCCAGCTCGCCAAAATCCCTGCGCCCAGGACCTGCCTCGGCTGCTGCAGCGGATGGCTCGCTCTCTCCGTCTTCATCGACGACGTCCACAGCCTGCTCAGCCTCTTCCATCCCGTCACCGCCGCCGAGATCCTCCTGCCGCCGCTCATCTACAACACCCGCCTCGTCTCCAAGATCGTCTTCGCGCCCAACCCCGCCACCGATGACTTCGCCGCCACCGCCATATGTGACATCGACAGGCTCGCCTACGTCACCGCGGGGGCCAGGAGATGGGCCGTCCTCGACCCTGTCCACCTCGCCGCCGGAGACCAGCTCGTCGACCTCCTCTACCATGGAAATGGTATGGTCTACTGTCTCACTCGGTTTGGAGATGTCCACGTGCTCCGCCTGCCACAGCGTCGCCGTCGGGAACCTATCATCCTCGAGTGCCACACACCAGCAGATTATCCAGTAGTGCATAACAAGCGGATCTTCCAGATGCATGGAACCGGACCGGACCTAAATGTGCGGGCCACAGACGAGCCACTGTTGTCATCTGTGGGCAACCCAGTGTTCGACGCCGCCACCTGTTTCACTCAGCCATACATCCCGGTCTCGATTTTTACTAGTGCCAAGAACCTGGTGTTCTGCGAGGGTAACTTGTACCAAATCTGGAGGAATGTGACCTGCACGGTTACTTTGCAGCTGTCAGGAGAGGGTCGCCGCCGTGTAGTAGAGGATGAAATATTTGTTATGAGGTATGATCCCTGGCGACGGCCATGTTGGGACGCCGTGTCCGACCTGGGAGGATACTCCATCTTTGTCGGGAGGAACAATGTGGTTTCGATGCACGCAGAAGGTGTTCCTGGACTCATGGGTGATTGTGTGTACTGGATAGGCGGAAGGGGTAGAGATCAGGGCATGGTCTTTAACATGAAGACTGGGAGATCAACACCTTGCCTTCCCCCCTTAGATGGTGTCGTTCTCGGATCTCCACAAAGCACAATTTGCTGGTACTTTTTGAGCGACACAGTCAATAATGGCAATAATACGTATGAAAGAGGAGTTTATCGGACCAGGGCAAGGGCCCGGGCTGAATCTGGACAAAAGTGATGGGCCGCTGTGATAGCTTGTCCACATAGTGATGAGCACCACCAACCACATTACTGGAAGTGATTTTTGTCATGCGCGAGCTGGAGATATATATGGCAGAGTGCAACTTCTACGTGTGGCCTAGCAAAACTGTTTTTCAGCTGAGCAACAATAAAACTGATGGATTTATTACATTTGCAACCAATGGTCCAGCAGTAGCTGAAGCTTCAGCAGCAACCATGGAGAGGATAGAGGATTTCTGTATTTGTGTTTGTGATGCCCAGTGCATACTTTGATATCTTGAGAAAAATAGAAGAACACTGGAGAAGTAGCAGTCATAATAGATTGTAATATATGCTATGTTGCTTATTGGTTAGGTTTCCATGCTTTGATGATGTCCCACGTTCAGTGACGATAATTTGCAGCAAATGATTGAACTTGGAGAGGGATAAATGCCTATCATTTTAAGTAGGTATTTTTTTACTTTTTTCAGCAACGTTTTGTAAGAGCGTGCTGCAAATCGTACTGGCATTATATCACCCATTTTATATTATTGTTTTTTAATGCTCTTATATTGTGACTCGTAATTCTAAGAAATCATGTATTAATTGGACTTCACTCAATGTTGCGATGACCAATGATTTATGGGCCTGAGAATTGGGAGTTTGATGCATGTGATGCTTAAGCTATGAACTGTCTTTTTGTTTGTTTTAGGTTAGTAATTTATTTGTTATCCGAGGTAATCTACATTCTTGTGTTAAGTTGGAGTAGTGCAAAGCTGATTGTCAATTCGGAGTATTCTTGGCTGATTGTGCAGTGTACAGTCGGTAAAGTGTTTTGTTCGAATTTTTGTATACTACATTTGAACTTGATTTTATTCTTGTGGTATCGTCCGCCTGTCATTTTGATTCAATGTTCCTTGCATTTGCAGTAATGCATCCTCTAGATATTTATGTGGTTGCTCATTCAGTTCGTTTTGTTTTCGTTCTCTAAGATTCATTTATGATAGAATCTATTATATATAAAAAGTAACTAACGGGCTAACCATAAAAAAGAGAAGAAACTAGAAAAATCCACGTAAACTAGAAACATCTAGCCGTTGATTTAGTAAATTAAGCAAATGATAACCAATAGATCTTTTACGCAGTTTGGGAATTACCCACCTATGCCACCATGTGGAAACCAGAAAAAAAAAAGAATAATAAACTAGAAAATTTCAGAAATATCTAGCCATTGATTTAGTAAATTTGATAAAGGACAACCAATAGATCTTTTATGAAGTTGTGAAATTACCCACCTATGCCACCACAGGGAAACCTTCTCATCCGCTAAACCTAAATCATGAGTATATGTGACCTACGTAGTCCCTGCCCGGCGGCCGGCGAGAGATTCCTCATGGATGAGCCAAGTCTACGTGAAGATGCTCTCTGGGCGGCCAGTGATACGTACGTATGCCCTGCCTGGCGGCCGGCCAGCGATTCCTCATGGATGAGCCAAGGAGACGTGCATCAAGGTATACCTTCAGCCAGCGACAGCGGTTCCCTCGATTCCTTACTCCCTAAAACTCTCACGCTCACCCTCCCTCCAATCATCATACAGATGAAATACGAACATGAGCATGGATATGCATCATGCACCTCAAGTCATTTGTAGATCAACATATTACGTTGATGGGAACCAGTCCTTCATGCAAACTGTCATGCATGTACGCCAGCGACATGGGCCAAGACGACTTGCCATCCGCACAAGCCCCAGCTGGTCTTGCTAGGAACATGTATATGTATGTAACAAGCAGCATCTCTTTCTCTGTTTATGTTGGAAATTGTGGACTATCCGGTCTACCCTCTAATTCCTCTGCCTTATCCGTGGTGCCGCTCACAATGCCTATTGAGGCTACAGGGTAGGGACCTATTTATAGACTTTACTTCCAGGTGTTTTATTATTCCACCTGTTTTCGGAAAGATCCGTATGACTCCTGTGCAATGTTACCAACCACGATAAAACATGTCAGTTTTCCGAGTCTAAATATAGTAGTCCCTAGCACACATGTGTGAGTCATGTGCCATGATTAGATTGTAAATGCGAGATAACTTCCAATCTTAATCATGTGGGTCAACAGCCTGCAGAGCCGATCCTGCAAAACAAACCCAGTTCTTCCACCATGTGATGTCCCGGGAAAAATACGTACGTACATATAAATTACAGTAGAGTCGATCCCTATTAATTCCTCTACTGTATTCCATCACAGTCGTCCTCGGCACCTCGAGTATTACTTCCTCGAGTGAAATTCCGGATCAGTTATTCCCCGTCACAAACATTAATTATACGAGTAATTCCACATTGAGTTAAATAAATAATTACCATGTTGAATAAATGTTGAAAGCCACATACATATCCAATAGTTTATACAGTGCAATATATGATCTTCAAAAAAAATGTTCACTGATTAATCCTTTCCCCCTAGGTATTACATACAGGAGACCCAATCAGTGACATAAAAAGAGGTCTGCATGCCGCATGCAATTGTTTGATTCAACTTTTCTTTCAGAGTATTGTGCACAGGGAGATCATTTCTATTTATATATCTATATGGCAATATGGAAAAAAAAAAGTGCCGCACGGAATTTTAGTATTACAAAGAGCAAGTTGTTATGTCGAAAAACCCATATTTGCCTAGATGCACATAGCAAAAAGGAGGGAAAATGGGCATGACTTGATTTCGCAAGAAACAGTTTGCATGGTATACTAATATAGCTCACGGGAACACATATTTGCATGCATTTACTTGATTTTCCTCTCAAAGTAAATACATACTGTTTTGAATTGACTACATATTACGGGCTGCATCCTTCAAGCAGTGCTGTGAATCGTGGATAATTTCTTTGACATATATTTTATTTCCATGTATATCATTATTTAGCTTATGCACATGTCTTCTCTTCACATTTTTATCAAAGGGATAAGTTCATCAGTAAGGGCAGAGGCAACAAGCAAAATAATTTTCATTAAAAAAAGTGAAAATAATAGCATGTAGCACATCATTTGGAGATATAAAATAAGACATAATAAGAAAAGTAATTTATCTATGAATCACAGCTAATCGTTTTGACATATATTCTATTTTCATGTAAGTATCGTTATATAGCTTCTGCACATCAGCATATGTTTTATACATGGGATAAGTTTATTACGTGCACAGACAACATGCAAGGTAATTTATCTATTAAAAAGGTAAAAAAGAATAGCATATACCAAATATACCACATCACTCTGAGATTATAATAATACATCGATTTTTTTATAACTCGACTTTTTTAGACAAGTTTTGTGTCAACTTAAGAATATTTAGTTAACATGTAGTTAATTTTTGTATATGCTCTATGCTCATCCTGTCGCCAACTTCTGTTGCAATAAATGTGAATTGCGCTCTATTTATTTTCCTCTGAATAAGATGTGCCGGGCATACCGAATAATTCGAAGAAGAAGAGGAAACAACAGGTATACTAAAAATGCATGTGAACATACATTCTTTTAGAAAAAATTATATTATTTTTCTCCTTAATGCATGTATGTTCTTCAGCATCAGCCAGATATACGAGATTGATGTGAGTTAGTTAATAATAGATTGGTTATTATTTTCAGAAGGTGGCATCTTTTTGTGGTTGATATTCCCCTTGACTCTGGAATATTTAGCATATCAGATGTTGTTGCTCTCAATAAATATTTTTGTAATTGTTTTATCACTATACAGTTGATTTACTGATGTGTTTAATATGTGTGTTTTGATATAATATTGATTCATGTTTTAATTTATTTATTTTTGGATTTTGTGCAGACCCCATACTAAAGATCATCTAACTTCCGACAGAACAACACACCAATTGGCATGAGACTTATTGTGCAGTTTGATCTTAATGTAAGTCCAAGTGGGTATAGTATGCATGTTAAAAAATCCAAACTATTTAGTTGTAACCATGGTTCCTCACATCACCATAAATGTTTGCATCTTTGATTTGGTAACCTAGATTATTACTGCTCTACAATGCAGGAGCTGATGACAAATTGTACACTTCATTTTATTTTTATCCAGTAGTGTCATATATCATCGCAGGAAAAAATGGACTCCTTTACTTATGAAATAGTGTAACTAATCACTACCATGGTTGTTAACTGCTACTTTATATGTCGAGGATGTATTTTTCTGCTCCTACTATTTTGTCTGAGGGATCAACCATGGATGTTTCAAGTATTTTTAACAAAGATGACATGAAGAATAGCTATTTATTTAGATAGTGATAGAGAGACCCATAAATATGTTCCAGGAATTGGATGTTCCCTTCTTATTCTCATGTCTATTTTGTGCGCTTTTAGTATTCTTTAGCCAAACTGATGAAATAGAAGTGAAATATGTTATGCTTGATCGGTAAAGCACTTTAAAGTTAGGGCATCTATAAAGAAAGGTTACATGCATTTAAAATCTAAAAATTGATATTACAATATTTATCACAAACTCCAAAGTTATATTGTAAATCATTTTTATGCAAGACAATAAATTAACAGTAACAATACGTACCATCTTCAAAACCATGTCATGTCCTAAAAGACTTGTATTACGCTCAAAGTAAAGGAAATGAGTGGCTAGGTCTAAGTCATCTGAGACTAACCAAGTCTCAGTCAAGTGAAATAGCATGTAAGGTACAAAAAAGAGAAGAAAAAGAAAAGAAAAAAGTTGCTTAGATCTAAATGTAAGATATCCCGAATATAGCGTCGGCTTAGATATAACCAAGTCTTAGTGGACTGAGAGTCTGAGACATATCAAGACTGAAAGGAAATATATCATGGGTAGTAACTTTAACAAGTTTCATAAATTAAACATAAATATTGTGTTCAAATTAAGTATTTATTTTGAAAATGAAAGCCATTTTTAATGCATGACACTAAATTAAAGTACTACATCTTTGCACATAAAAATAGTTCAATAACTGTTGCCCACGCATTTACGCGGGCCACTGCACTAGTTG